GCAGAACGTTTGTCGAGGGATTGACTTTACTTGTCTCTTTGACGAGTTCGTAGCTTGGTGCGACGAATGGTAAAACTCACTGATGATGCCGGTGAAACGTTTGAGAATGTACCAACTCCACTGTCTGATGCTGGAAATCATGGCAACTACTATGGCAGACGACTTCGGACTAGGTGCGTTCTACGAAGTCGCCCTGACAACAAGATCAAGTTGTGACAACGAGGTCAACCCACTTCTATAAAACTAGTTAACTGTAAAGGACCCGAAGTCGCTTAGTGGTATTCCAACTAATATTAGCTATTTGTAATAAAAACATCGATTTGAGTGGCCAATCAACTTTTAAATACTATTTTATGTTAGTATCTTTGAGTTTTGGCCTTTTTATGCCTGTGATAGCTTAATTATAGCAAAATTGAGCCACTGTAAACACTTAAATCTCTTTATTTTTATACGAAGCCAAGACATAAATTGTACAGTAAAGCTTACCATTGTAAAGTCTAAGGCAAACTCTAAAATTTAATGATGGAAAGGAAATAAACTAGTAATAAATTTTCATATGCATATGCATCAAATAGTAGTAGGCATTTAGGAATAAGTTTTGAGTTGAGTTAACCCTCGACAAGCTAATTATTAGTTTCTAAGCAATGTATACTGGGTTGTTATACAACTCTTTTGTGCCAGAGTGAAATAAAGTTACTTTGTAAACAGGTCTTATGACTATTAGTATATTTTTTATGAGAAACACCTACCACTATTCCGAATTGAGACAGGCCAAGTCTACCCTGAAAGCTACATTTGCCCTATAGTACATTGGCACTCCAAATTGTATGTCGTTTCGTTAACTTCGTTGTTTGATGCCCACTGCCTCATTTCGAATCCAACTGGGGTGTTGCAGAGGCCCAGGTAAGGCTAAAACGGCACTCAACATTGGATTTCAAGGCCTTTTAGAGAGCAAAGACTGGTGATATATGACAACAATGTGATTAATTCTACATATTTTTTTATTGAAAACTCAATTATCAGGCTTTCAATCACCCTAAGCCCCATAACTTGACTCAAGTTTTTGTAACATTTCAGTTCTATCGGAAAAGTGGTACCCAATAGGATTAAATTTCAGTTAAAAGCCCATAGCTGGAACTAACTTATCTTTGAACATTTCTCTTTAGTCAATTGAATAAACTTTGAAATTATAAAAAGTTAGCCTAAGGACACAGAAACATAGTAGCTGAAGGTTACACGTCAGCATTAGATAAAAGACCATCATCTCCTGCACTTTGTGGTAAGATTAATAACCTTTATCTTGTCTAATACTTTATTCGTCATCAGAATCTCATACTTTTCTTTGAATACCTAATATATCCAATAAGTCTTAAAGAGGATCTGAAAAATTTTCTACACTTAGCTTTCTATTTTGCCATACGGAGAGCTCGATGAATTGAAATTCGAGCCCTGCATTGGGACTGCTTAAAAAGCTTTTTATGGCTGATATAAAAAATGCATTTTCTCAGAAGTAAACGAGCAACAAAATTCTTCCGACGATGCAGGCCGAGGTTCGGCTAGTGATACCATATTTATCCCTTCCCTGTCCGCGGCACTCAGTAAGACTGTGCTTGAGGATAACACTCCAGGTTACAGGATCACTGATTGAGTATTTGTCAAAGGTCAGCTAGCACCAAGTCATTCAACCTAATCAGTAGCCTATTCTAAAGCATCTCATCCTCATGCAGCCCGACACTGGAGGTGTTTTGCGTCGCTCAGCTGGAATCCATTAGTTAATTGAACAAAGTTATTATAGTACACTTTCGATAAATAACTATTCTGAGATGTATGTACCCGATTTCGTTTAAGGTAATGAAGGACAGGTGGAAAAAGA